AGAATATTGATACCCTGCTTCCACATGTTATTAACCCGTTGTTCCTTTAGACATCTATGAAAGAATCCAGTTAATAGTTCGGCTATGTTCACAGCTGCAACATGTATTGCTTTCGGGCGAATGTTATCTAGTACGATAGAACTACGGGTGTGCAACAATAACAATTTCTTTAAAACAATTGCAGGGCTGAAGGTGATGTGGACAAATACTCGCGTCCGGGCGTATGGGAGAGGTAAGTGAGACATGCTGTTGGCGCGTCGGAATATTGGAGCATAGTGGAGCTGTAGGATGTTGGCGGCTTCTTATGCGGTTCGTGCACCGCCATTGGCTGAGATGCGTGAGAAACACATTTTTGTACAGAAGTTTGCTGTTAACAGGAAGCCTTCCAGATAGGCTCAGTTCTGCACTAATTTGTCTTCGGAAACAAGTATGGTATGGTGACCACGCTGCTCAGAATTGTTGCTCCGTTTGTCAGGACTAGATTTTTCTATGTACACAAGTCATCTTACGAATCCTCTTCTATGTGTTTTCGCGTTGTGTTACCAATACCAGCTGTTGTAGAAATAAGAGGCCTGTTTTCCGATGCGGATATGATCAAAGCACCGCATGTGCCAGAAGACTCCAGGAAGGCAATATCAATGGAACAGTCATCCGAAAACTCCCAGATGGCTTCTCCAACCAAGTCTGTTAGCATATCGCAGTGTGTGCCTGTTCAAAACAAATCAGTAGGTCCTTGTGGATACAGTGCGCAACACACAAAGCCATACAGAGCTGTGACGTGCTCAGTTAGTCTCAAATAACTCTCCATCGTTGGCTTATCAATCATTAGCTCTTAGTTCATTAGTAATAAATCAAGCACAGATGGTTTATTTCCCGAAATTAACCTGGTGGGGATGGCTGAATATTAGAATGCTTACAAGGAAATCTTACAGCTCGGCCTTGAATTGGTGGCTAGGGTGTGGCGCAAGTTCCAGACTGTGAAAATTGAGGTCTCCTGAGATGAGAACATAGCAGCATCGTCGGCAAGGGATCCTCCCCAAAGCTAACGTCATACGGGAGTCCATCACTGGGGGTGTATATTGGAGGAAGCTTAGCCACTGCTACAAGACAAGTCCCTTTGCGTCTCACTCACAGGCTGTACCATAGTGAGTCTATGATCAGCGCTTGCGGATCATCCACCGGTTCTCAGCACAGATCACTACGGCACTACAAATTACCTCACCTCCATTGCTGGGGCCGTTGTTTTGGAGAAGGGGCACTCCATACATCGAGACTTTGGGGTCGGTGATTTCTGAGTGTAAAAAAGATAAATAGAAACTCATCACATCTGGACTCACTCAGACATCCATTACACGCCCAGAAACGCACAGTACGCACGTTTCATCCTTCCGTGAAACGTCAGCAGCGCGCTTTCCATCTGACACTGATAGGGCTCGAACCCACAACGCGAATGATACCACTTCGTGGTTGAGACCACCACTGAGTTACCGGGGACGACAACGACCATCATGAATAAGTACTAGATGTGATATAGCGCTGCTCATTATCCAATGACTTGCACCTTACTGCTGCGCAGAAGACAAGGTGGCCCTCTCACTAAGCGACGAAATTACCAAACGTCAACCGCCAATTAACTTATAGCATCATAAGCAGTTTGGTCTGCTTACTGATTACAGAGGATCAACTTATTTACCATGGTTGTTGCCGTCCCCTGTAACTCAATGGTCTCAAGCACACACAAGCAACAGTCGAGTTGCGGGTTGGAGCCCTACCAGGGTCAGATGGAAGTTGCACTGCTGACGATTCGCGAAAGGATGAAACGCGTGAACAGTGCCTTTCCGAGCTTCTGATGCCGGTCTGAGTGAGTCTAGATGTGACGAATTTCTACCTATGCCATTCAACTCCCCCTACTACGCATTTGTAACAAATGTATACTGATATGTGGTGCTGGGCATTTGACGCTTGACGTGGCCGCAGTTCGGCAAGCTGGTTCAGCAGATATTGTGCGTTCGTGTGCATACAGGAAAGTTTCTGTGATCTTAGTAGTGAGAAGCAGGACGTGTACTTTGAGTGTGAGGTTACAACGAGCCGTTAAAGTACAATAGCCAATTGTTTTTTTTGAGTTGGACGGTGACAAACCCATTTGTGTCAGGCCCGGGGATCATGAAATTTTGCTCCTTGCTAATATGTTGTATATAACCTACCAGTCGTGCCCAAAGGTCTCTTCAGCTGGATGCGTAATGCTTTCCAAACTGTTTTCGGGAAGTAGTTCCAGTAAAGTTCTGCTCTGGTGTGTTTGTTTAGGGGAAGCTGCTTTGATCCCGATCTCACATACTAATCAGCTGGGATACGCATACCAGCACTCTAATATCATTTTTGGAATCTGTCTGGATTGAAGCACCACTATCACAAATCTCGACCACATCCTTTGTTACTTGGCTATCTGCTCAATCTCGAAATAGCTTGCGTCTCGACGTTTTTCAAGGCGAACGTCGCACCACTTCTCCTGCTCGCGGGTGATCGTTTCACACTCATTATGTCCTCCGACCTCGGTGACATCGTATACAAGGATGATATTGGATACTGATTCCTTGCAATATCCCTCAAAGTTGTGTTTCATCTGTTCACGCTTGCTCCACGGAATATCCGAGAAGATGCAAATGGAATATGACAAATTCCGAAAGCGAGCTATCAAAAAAACTGCTTCGTCGGTAGAAGTCAATACAACTGGGAGAAATCGCAGTTCACCGTATTGATTTGAGTTTAACTGTAGGGTGAACCGCGCCAATTTTGCGTGCTTAGCTACAACGGTTAAGCTTCCACATATTTAATTCCACTGGCGCCCCTTTGATTAGTTTGTTTTGCTGTAATGGAATTCGGTGAATTGTGGAAAGTTTTTCATTCTGGCGGCTGAAATTTATGCTTTTAACTATAAACTTTTATGCGCCTACTCCTATTTTCCGTATTTGCACTTTATGCTCTGATTCTTTTGCAGTGCAATGGTCACTTCAGCCACGTTAGTTCGATCCACCAATCCTGTTGCTAGGATCCTTGGTGCTTAAATGAGCGGAAAGGAACTAAGTTCTAATATTTGGGCGTTGTATCCAATTGATCAGCGTTTTCACTCTCCAAGCAGACTAATATATGACACTAGATTTGCAGTTGTCTGTTGCTTGAATATATTTTATTCATCGAAGTTTCTCCACGTAAACCAGAGATCTGAGTCGTATGGAGTCATTTATACATTTGAATACCGTCCCTATTAAACCTCGCTGACTGACGAAATTTAACACGAATAGATCATTTTCTGTGATTCATGGCTAGGCCAAGTACCACACATCTGGCTACTTACAATGAGCAACTGGGATTGAAAAACTAGAAAATGTAGATCACATGCAGCTATATTCGCTCTATTTGATGTTGGCATTTACCAATATGCTCGTTAGGGTGACTATCGGTTACTTACCGAATATATCGATCACACAGATAGACAGATTGTCCTGTCGGTAAAAGAAGTGTGGACTCTACTTCAACAGTGTATACACAGAGTTCAATTTCGTTTTGCCGAATAGTTATTCTAACAAAAACATTGGCTTACAATTGGGTAAACACTGAGTTCACTGATGTGTTTATGGCCAAACTAGAATGGGTCCACTGAGTGAAATGATTGGGCGGTTGTCACTCTATAAAGGCTAGGTGGATGACGTGATATGCAGATCTGTCTGCTCCGTAGGCCAAGTTAAATTATTACGGAAATTCGATCAGGCCCTCAAGAATATTCAGTTTTTTACGTAAAGCGAGTCAAATGAAGGTCTGGCTTTTCTGGTCGAACAGATGGTTTGTTGTAGCATATAATCCACAGGAAAGCAACATAAACTGATAATACACAGATTTATAGTTTACCGCCAATTCGACAGAAAGAAAATCTAATCCGGCGTCTGGTCAGAAAAGCGATTAAATGATGTCCCGAGGACAGAACTGAAGCAGAACGCTGCGTAATAAGAAATGTGTTCGTTAATAACGACTATCCAGAGGACTTTTTGACAGGAATATGCGAACTGACTGTGTGATCGTAAAATCACCCACGACAAGAAACTATGCTGTCTATTTGTCGTTGCTATTTGAAAGAGACAACAATTCTGAATACCTTAACCAAAAACTGCGAGCTGCCATCATTAACACGTTTGGGGCCGCAAAGTTACGTATTATCTTCACTGCGCACATGCTATACGTTCAGCTACAGGATAAATTTGTTACCGATATCGCCTCCTTTTTTGTGTCCTAATTTACTTTCTCCTGTAGAACAGGTTACATGGGTTGTGTGACGGGACGTTTGTCTAAACGTTTTCGCGAGCGTGGCTATGTCGTGGATTGAACAAGAACTGCACCACCGCAATAGCTCCACGTCTAGTCCAAGCGAATCATCACGTAAATATCTCTAAATCCTTTTGCACGATCTATCAGATGCCACATGCTTACATTGACAGAAGTGGTCGTGGTCGATACAACAACTCACCGCTCTATGTGCATAGACAGTTCGTCAATGTTTTGGCGTTACCGTGGCCAAGTGTAGTCCAGGCAGCAACCATTTTAACAAACCACACACACTATGGTCTTTTTGACAACCCAATTTTAACTATTTACTCCATTATTTCTTATCCGGGCTAAACAGATGTGATGATAAATCACTGCGAACGAGCTCGTTTGCTATACTGTCGTCGCACGAGTGAAAACGAATAGCCATCGAATTTGGGTTTGTTTTCGTTTGAAGACGCAGGGAAATATGCTATTTTGCTTCACCTTTAACAATCAAACATTAATACGCGTGCAAGAACCAGAGCGGCTGATGGATCACGAGATATCATACATAATCACTTTGAATTAATTTGTTAATATATGCTCATAGTAGTTGTACTCTGTAGGCTAACTAACCAGAATTCATCGAATACAACCCTAAGGTTATTAGTGGTGTCTTTAAATCTTCCTCATCTATCTTCCAGGTCCAGCTAAAATCTTACAATCTCCATTGGACACAAAAGCAATTGCCGGTGAATCCGTGCTGTTCTTCTGTCAAGCAGAAGGAAACCCGACTCCACGTATCACTTTTCGTTGGAACGATAATGAGCTTACTTCGAATCGACCAGGACTGCAAATTAAAACTGTGGCTGCAGATAGCGTTTCGCTGAGAGCAAAGTTGGAAATAGAACACAATGGGGACACAGTCACGTGCTCCGCCAGAAACCATGTTGGGTCCAACTCGGCCACGGCTCAAATTACCGTGTACAGCGCGAACGAAAGTAACTTGCCGATATGCTACCAACTTATTACATTGCTGGTTTTCTACTTTTCCGTACGGTGTCACTTCTGATCACTAGCAGAATAGGAATGTTGCCTGTATCTGTACATTAATTTAGCTAACTCAGTGGTGGCTTAATTTTGTCGCACACATTTAGAATTTTTAAACTTTTAGCTTGCTTTTGCTACCACCCAAAATTACTAATGTGCTCACTTTTTGCATTAGGACATATCTGGTAGGAGCGCAAAATTCTTGGTTCACTACTAAGGTGGATTGCATCCCAACCAAATTTTCTTCCGTGATAATTTCGATCACGAAATATCGTGTTTAATGCGACCATTAATTAAGATCTTCCCTGGGAAGTGTCTGTCCTATGAACTGGTGATATCCGTAAAACTCGCCTCACTACCTGTCGATAAAATTTATCTATGTTAATGTGAAGATACATCCGGCGAAACGGTGATGCCGCCCAAGATTACTTGAGTTTAAAGCATGATAACTGAATGGTAAATAAGAGCAAATCAGCGAGTGAAATAGCATTTTAAATCCTCAGACATTGTCTATAAAAGCAGACAATAGTTATTGTCGAATGTGTTCTTAGTGCTGTATAACTAGTAGTTTACCAAGTTGCATCCAGTTACCATCGTATACCTCTCTTGCTGTTCGCACCAGTATCCAGTGTTACCCTGTTATTTACCATGGTCGTAAAGAAGAGAAAAGGTAGCAAGCCCACCCGTGTTACCAGCCCATTGAAAGATGAGACCAATTTAAATCAATTTGTATTAGCGGCTTTGGATTTTTCCAATGTTCATACCCCAGTGATATCAGCTTGTCAACGCACTCAATCAAAAGAGCAGGATATAACTACCAGCGGAATACTAATGTCGTTAGTAACTCACAAGCAGAGAATTTAAGTGTCCTTCTCGAAAGCATCGTCACTGAGAATTGCTCCATACCTGGTAACATTAGTGAGTTTCTCAGGAACCATGTTTATTCATGATGCATTGCTGAGCTTGGGCCCAACACTTGTAAAGAATGCGTGGCATAAAGGATAAAGTTGTTTGGCTAGCAAACACTAAGGTAATCATTACTTACTATTTATCGCATACAAAAACTTTTTTGAATTTAGTTAAATCTGAATTTTATTATTGTACACTGCATAGTTCTTTGCTTAATGTAAACCTGACGAACAAATGGTTTCTAATTTCTATGTATTTATAAATTACATTACACTACTAAACTTGCCAGCTCATTGCTGACAGTTGTATTAATTTTCGGTAGGCTAGAAGATAATTCCAGTTCATCCAAAGAAACACCTTTATTAAAATGTGTGATAAGCAATAAAGCTTGTTGATGAAAACCACTGAGTCTTAGCTACCATTTGCTGTTGTGATGGGATGAACTCATGATGGGATGCAAAAAGCAAATTCCTGTGCACTGAGCATTACAGTATGAACGCCCTTTTTACAGCAAGTATGTTCTGATACAACCTGACGTATTTCACGGTCCAGCTAAGTATCTGAGTAGTAGAAACCATCAACCGTTGCAAGTGCAAAAGAAACTGACAAGAAGAATTATCCACATGTAAATTTTGCTCCTTTATTGCCATGACCCGGTAGGTTGAACCGAGTGCTGAAACATTCACCAACCAACATTGGATTGGTGAAAGCTTGTCCGACATAAACCAGCAACGGGATGAATGTTTGTTTTCCACTTCAACCGGTCCTCATGTGTCCAATATTCATTCCCTAACCAAGTATATATATATATATATATATATATATGACTCCCGATTGTTAACCCCAGATAATTGGATTGGATCACTCGTAAGGTGCGTTTAACCACATCAACCATAAATTACCGACACGATGCCAGTGGTCTTTTTTAGGCATAAAAGCTACCTTGAGACAGTATTTCCTGTGTATTTAGTATAAAATTGACACCTAGCCAATTATGGGGTCTACAGAGCTCGTGTAATCAGTGATCTTGAAGCGCAGTGATATAACTGCACACCTACGAATTATGCTGCTCGTCCAATGTTGCACACTTTGAATAATCTCTTAGTTGTAGAGACGTCCCTTCTTCCGTTACAATTCAACTCTTGTACCTTTCGCCTGAACGACACAAACGGCCGTGAAAAATACTTCTCGCAACAGTTTGCAATTCACAGGCAGTGGTTTCACTACTTTCCCTCGAAGTGATTACTTAAGGCATTTAATGTATGTCCAGCGAAGATAATTGCAGCGTATCAAGTGTTTCTTAAAACGTCTTCTAAAAACAACCCAGTTCAGCAAGGAAATGTCTGAAAGCAAACTGTCAATGCAGTACTCGAATACTTCTAACCAGGGTATACAGAAACATCACCATCAGCAACACTTGCTTCTGTAGGGCAAAACACTGAATTGATGCTTTGCTAATATATAGATGTGATTATTGTAGTTAACAGAAAATATATGACTTCAAAAGTACATGCCACAAGCATGCATTCCGTTTCAAGTTGAATACCTATCAAAACTTCAATAGGCATTATCTATCATGCGAAAGTAGGCAACATCAGTGGGACAGCTTCCTTAAGTTTCTTACTGCCCTTCTCCTTGATTAGCCATGCGTCACAGGCAACTCAATATCCTGCACACATTAAACAGGTATAACTTCTGTGAGCACGTCTTTTAAAGTCTGAAGCGAAGCACAAAGCAAGTTACGTGAAATGGCGTCTGGTAGGCGAGACGACCCAATAGGCCCCACATTATTCGTCAGTGATGTTATTTTCCGTTGCCAGGTCAACGTTTCTCCCCACCCATTTCTATTGCGCCATCCTACAACCAGTAGCCATGCCCCGTCCGTCTGCTGGTATTCGTAACACGTGCTCCGCACTTTGTACAATTTTCAACGTTAGTTGTCGATCAAAGGAACTAGCCCTTACAATCATCGTTTGAGAAAATTGTGTACACAGATGATTGTGGTCGAAGATTTATCAGTGCATCAAGTATTAAAAAACACAAGAATGTAGCCCTAGCTAACATTTCATGTAACAATAACACATCAGTTGCGTACACGTTGCTGCCAATGTTGCTTCCAAGGTAGGAAATTTGGTCCACTATCCTCGCTTTCTTGTCGCTATGACTCGTATGGCTGCATGTTGGACTGTTCTCTGAGCTTAGCTACTTTTTTACATCGGTTTCGTCACCAACCGAGTATACAGCATTAGTGCGTTATAGCGTAGCAGATTAGAGTGAAGTGGTGCAATCATCAACTCAACGGCTAATTGAGTTACACAAAAAATGGCTGTTGCTGTTACTTTACTGAGGACAAATTTTCAACATAACTGCCGACCAACAAACGAATAACATGAGGTACCAGCAGTTGCTTTCACACAAATTTGAGATCGTCACTTAGCTGTTGACCTCGAAATAGCACACTGCAATTTTCATGTGCAAGTTGCGTACCGAAATAAGGGACTATGTGGAAGAGTTTATCCAGGCTAGACTGTATCGTCTTACCATTTTGAAACGGCATAGCGCTGCCACGGCTGCAACCAAGTACGCCGCGATTTTCGAAGTACGGTGTTCTGGATGCAACATGTGCCTCCGGATTACTGTCCTAAACGTGTTTTATCTATGAATTGTGCACCAATATTCATTCTTTGGTGTTTTTCAAAATTATTTATTTGGTGGATAACCTCTGGCCACTTTCGGAGATATCACTGATTGGCCCAAATGCTATCTGGGTTCATCATCTTAGATTTGTTTGTGGCCTTGTCCACTAGTGCAGCTGAATACCGCTGGAACCGACGCACAGCGAAACAAACTCCATCGACCGCTCACTTGAGCGTTACAAGTTCAAGGTTCGCTTGACCGATGCATACGGCTACGGAAGTAGGAAAAGTCATCAGTCATCCCACGGGCTCAGCTACGGACACCAGGCTGAATGTCAAACATCGAGTAAGTGCACGTCCAAAAGGGCGCCAAGCTAAGGGTGTTTGAGAAGCAGGAGAATGGAATCGATTATTCAAGATAGGCTTGTCTTGATCGCATTGTCCCAAGTGGTACCACCTGAATTCTGCTAGCTTATCCCAACAGCAGGTGCGCAAGATGAATAGCGCTCAAGATGTCCTTTGCTTCTGTGCCACCTGTTTAACCATCCCATTTTTCAAGTGTATGTTTGTCCTAGTCCAGAAATGCAGCAGGTTGGTAGCAGAAGACAAGCAGCGAAGGAGAAGTAAGAGCATCTCATTAGAAGAAAGTCTAAACCAGTTAAATCTAGGGACAGTTAACCGAAGGAATGATGCACAAGTTGTTGCTGCTGAACCACAATCAGCCAGGTCCCAATCGCCGTTGTCTTTACCAGATTTGACAGAAACACAATCGAAAATTGGATGTTACGCCGAGAGACAAACAATGCTCGTGGCAACTAAACTAAGGTACCAACCGAAAAATGTGATTAATCAAGTCCCACCAATTTCGCTTACACCTGCAAGTAAAAGGAACAAAGTCGCCAAACGGAAACTCACATCATTTGCAGCTCAGTGGTATATTGTCGAGCCAAAGTCCCCTAGGACATCAGTCACAAATGCCGCGATTGCTGTAAAGTTCACATGAGAGGTCACCTTTCAGTCTCTTTTGTTACAGACACCACTAACTTGAATAGAGACAAACAATAAATAATCATCATTTAGCAATAAGTCCGCACAAGCGATCTCTCAAGCTTACAGTTAAACGAAAAAGGGATCTAACAATAGCACCCTGAATGTTGTGTGCACGAACGTACACGGATCAGCAGCTATCACACTTCAAGATAAATTGTCCGACAACCTAAACCAATGAGAGTCCTTGCGCTTTCACATGAAATTAAAGGCTCAACCAACAAACTTACTATGAATTACCCGTCACTATAACTTTGTACACTTTGGACAGCCCAGACTTATTACAGTAACGTTAAGATCTTCAAGTGATGCGAAAATATTTGCTCTTTTCAAACGCGCTGCGAGGTGGATTGTGTGGA